AAGAGTAAAATATGGACTAACCTTGTTCTTGCACCGGTTGAGCGGCAGTGGGCAACGGCGGAGCGGAGGAGGAATCATTGGTGGTGACGGAGGAGTAAGAATCGAAGTCGTGGGTTTTCTCCGCCGGCGATGCATCCATTGGAAGTAGGCGTTTTCCATGCGTTACCTAATGCTGACCAGCCTCTCCTTCATCGTCTTCCACATCCATTCCCACCAGCATCTTCATCTTCTCCAGTAGTCTCTCCTATGGAAGTTCCACTCTCGGAACTGCAAAAGAGGGAGACAGCACCGAGAAACCCAGAAGTATAAAAGACTATGATGAGAAAATAAGAAATAAAGGTCAAGAACCTAGTCAGAGAAGCAGATCTTGCAATTTAAGCTCCGCAGTGGAAGGAGGACGACCAAAAACCAAATGGTAGATCTAGACCATCACAAACCCACAAAGTTTGCTGCGTTCGAGTCTGCTGGATCTGTCGCAGGGGAGGGCAGGGGGCAGGCGGAATTCGGCATCGAGTCTGCTGCTTCGTCGCACCACGAAGGCGGCTTCGTCCGTTCGTCGCTTGGAGCAGGGCAGTCGGTGGAGGTTAGGGATTGGATTTTGGAGGAAAAAGAAGGAAGGGTGCGGGGAGAGGAGGAAACCTAGGTTTTGGGGGAAAGAATGTCAATTTTAGGGTTTTAGTTTTTATTTTATATTTTTTATAAAATACGCGTATGAATACGCGTCTTTAACTTAAAAGTAAAGACGAGTGTTGTCATTAAATTAAAAAAAATTAGTAATATGAGTCTTGACTATACAAGTAAAGACGCGTAAGCTTGTAAAATATTTACAAAAATACCACCGCGTTTTTATTTTTTTACTTTAGAAGTCTTTAGTTGTAACTAAAGAAGTGTATTGCTTCATTTTTATGGTCAATTCTCTACTAGTGTATTCTTTGGCTCCTTGATAATGGCATGTCTGGTTCTGTGATTGAGTCGCGATAGAGCCCTGCCTAGGGTTACGTTATTCCTTTGGCTCCTTGATAATGACATGTCTGATTCTGTGATTGAGTCGCGATAGAGCCCTGCCTAGGGTTACGTTATTCCTGATAATCTTGATATTCTTGATAATTGTAATTGGTTGATTCAATTGTGTTTGTTTGGCTATCTTGATAATCTTGATAATTGTAGTTGATTGATTTTATTGTGTTTATTTGGATATCTTGATGATCTTGATGTTGATAATGGATCCTATGCATGATTCTTGGGTTGGGTTTGTCTAGAGCTTATTTTAGGATTGATATGTGGGTTCTTGCTATTCTCGATGTTCTTGCATGATTAAGAATTGATTCTTGAGTCTTGATGTGTTAGGAGCATGAATCTAGGATTTGATTGTGTTGGTGTCTTGGTTTGATCCGTTGTGATAATCCCCTTTGTTGTTGATATGTGTTGGAAGGTGTTTGGACTTGTCTTGAGTGTTAATTGATGAATTCCCGAGTTGGGGAAAAATGCCTATTGCATCGTACCAGTGGGGGGTAGGTGGGGGAACGAATTCCCACCACCTACCCGTGGCAGAATTGCCCAGTTCCAGCGGGCAGCCGTCGGGCAATCGCCGGCCTGTCGGCAACCCACTGGAACATGCATCGCCCACATGCGGGTGGCCGGCGGGTGCTCCTTCTCCCGCCGGGCACCCGCTGGAACGAGGCGTGCATGATGTTGTTTGGTCTCGTTTTGTGTTGTCCCGTGTCTCGTTGTACCCCGTTTGGTATTTGTGAGTCTAGGTTGATATCTTGGGTACAGTTCTTAGTATGTACGAGTCTTGAGTATTGTCATGTGGGTTAAGTTGGTATCTCATTGGCCTAGGATGAGGTTTGTATGATCCCATAAGAATCTCTTGGTTGTGTTGTTTACCAATTGCTATTGATGGTTTATGATTGATTGTGTGCTCTCTTGATGGTCTCCTTGATATGTGTTAATGTGAATTGATTGTTGTTGATTATTGAGTGGTGGCCACTACTGTTGTTTGTGCATGTTGTTGGATGATGTTTCACTGATTGGTTGTGATCAATCGAGTATGATGATGAGATGTGATATGTTGGAGGATATTAACTATGTTGGCGGTTGACACATAGTGTCTTGTCCTTGTGCTGCGGTACAGGCTTAGTGGTGACTGTGCTAAAGGCACACACCCACATTCGACTTGCTTGCCGTTAAGCATGAGTCAGGTTATAAGTGCTGCAGGGCCATGTCAGAGCTACATGCGTTGACCCCTTGGCAATGGAACTGAAGGTTCGGGTCATGTGAATGGCTCTGCGGTGCTATCAGATTGGTGGGCACTAATGTGGAGGTTTATTGGTGGGGGGCATGCGTGCTCCAGAGGAATAAGGGAGGCGATATAAGGGTGGCCTGGAGGTACAAGTTGGAACGATATAAGGATGGCGAGGAGTAAGGTTGGAGCTTGGTATAAGGTTGGGGCACAAATGCGTGTCGTTGTTGTTGTTTGATTGACTGTGATGATAAGTGGTTGTTGATATGGTTTGATATTGTTGAGTATCGTTATTATGTCGTCTTGTGACATTAGGATGCATGCTACTATCTTTACGATTTATTTATATTATATTGTTGAATCTGCTACTGCATACTGAGTCTTGTTCTTGGATTTAAATTAGAGTTCCTTAGGATTATATATGTATTCCGGTTCCAAAATGGTTTTCCTTATATCTACCTATATTGTACTTAACGCGTGGGAGTGGGTAACCAGCATTATTCGCTGAACATATATTATTTGGCTTTCAGGTACAGATGAGTAGCTTCGGAGCGCGCTAGTTAGATTCGTGGATTTAGTTTAGGTAGCACTAACTTTTGATGAGATGGCCTGCTTGCCTTGAGTTGTATTGGGATGTTACTTATAGTTTATGCTTTGTTGGTTAGTATAGCCTGTGCAACTGAGTTCTCTAGCTTAGATGTGGCATAGCACCCCGACTATTATGCTTGGTTTATGCTCTGTTTGGAAATTTATAATAGAATTGCCTTTGATATATAAGTTTTAAAAGTTTTAAAAATTAGGGGTGTTACATAAACCCTCCTAAATTATATAAAACCATCAAAGTCGATGATTAAATTGAACACAAAATGTCATTTAAGATTAAATTAAGTAAAATCACTATAGTCGAGAACTATATTAGATATTAACTCCTAAAAATTCAATAACTATGAGTATCACGAAGACAAACTTCTGTATATATCGTAGTCAACGATAGCTACCTTCATCAACAATTCAACATTTGGGACAAATGTTGACCTCCTTCGTTAACCTCGAACGACAATTTATTTCATAGATCAGGGTTGGCATAGCATTATAAACTATGGATCAAAACGACGAGGTATATAATATAATTCATATTTGTAAAGTACATAATTTTATAACACAAGACAAATAAAATTACAACATAAGACACATACACATGTTATGCATTTACTTATTTTTCAAATCTGATTTAGGTATATAATTTGTATTCATAGATACAGAATTTCACAACCCAAAATACATAAATTCGTAACATAAAACAATTACTAATTTGTTTCAGGTACATAATTTATATTCATAAAATATAATACTATGATCAACCGAACACTGTGAACCCTCATCCATGGTATAAGACTATAAGGATCGCTCTAGAACGAAGGCGGCTATGAGCGTATGACCAAAGAATATTCTTTAAGAAATTTATTTAATATATGTACCTAATTACTTGTACTTTTATTATTTCAAGTGGCCAAGTGGGTATGAAATCCGTGAAGGAAATAAAGTGGAAATAGAAAAAGATTGGTCGGTGAAGGATATGATTTCGACGACTCAACAAGCCCCAATTATTGACCTGTGCTGGTTGATCCAATGAATTTGTAAATAGAAAATGATAGAAATACGGGTCAAATAAGCCATTGAATTGTACATAATAATGTAATCAGGTCGATGAACCTAAAAAAGTTATAATTGGATCCCTAAACCAATCAATTCTATATAATTAATCCAATTTATAGATTTTAGATTTCTAGCAAGTCATTCCTAATTTAAAATATTATTTAAAATTATTATTTAAAAAAAGATGGTCAGAGACGAAGAAATTTTCTTCGTCTCCATGGCTGGAGACGAAGAAACTCTTGAGTCCCACCACATAGTCTTGCGCAGTCACGGGCCTATACACAGAGCCTTGTGCTCTGTTGATACAGGCCTTGCGTCAGGCCAAACTCATGGGCCTGTGTGGCTTGTGGAATTCGGAAACTTGGTTCGATTGTGTCTAAATGTTAATGTGATATGTGTACAATTAAACCATTTTTAATATAAAGCATGATCTATCATTTTACTACGTGTGATTTGGGCATAATTTGTTACGGTTCTTGTGTTGGGTTTAAATGACAAATGTTGCTTATGAGTATGGTTTGGGAGGATTTGTTTCATCATTATGGCAAATGTAGTGTTTGAGGATTCTAGTTTTATCTTGTTTTAATAGAATCCTTTTGTTTATTCTGCTGCGTAACCTTGTAATCTATCTAAGCTCTAGTGTTAAAAAAACGGGGTGTTACACCTGCTCTGTCCATTTACTCTGTCAACAGCGATGGCCATCTCCAGTCACCAGAGATGGCCATCTCCAGTCACCAAAGATGGCCACGCCTTCTTCGACGACGTTTTGGTCTTCGTTGTAAATTTTTATTGCTGGAATTTAAGTGACCTGGTATTACAGGTCACTAATAGGTAAATGAGTCTTAATGAACTAATTTGACTTGTTTATGTACCTAATTGCAACTTTAAAAAGTTTGAGCACCTAATTGACTTTTGATGTAAAGTTTGATGGCCTAATTGTTACTTTTCTCATAATACTTCAATGTGCACCGTACCATTGGTGGAGACAAAGTTTTACAGATGAGAGAAATTAAAACAATATTTTAAGAAGCAGATCAGACCACCTTCATCATCTTTTTATGCAATGTTTGGAGGGTTGTGGCCAGACCCACTCAATACAGATCTGAATAATTTGAGAGAGAGAGAGAGAGATGGCATCTGTTGCTTTGACTTCTCTCAGTGCAACAATGAAGTTGGAGTTTCTGCAACCCAATAATCCAAGGGTTCCTCTTGATGATGAAGCATCCATATCAATCAATTCTTTGTTTGAAAAGATTTCATCTTTGCAAGCTTTTGTGCACGAGAAATCTGGGGGTGGCCCTGCAACCAGAGATTTGGAGATGGAGATCAGAGACTTCGCACTGGAAGCCGAAGATCAAATCGAAATACAACTAAGCAACTTTCTTCTGGCCAAGAACGCAGAGGACCAACAAAAAGCTTCTCAGCAACTCCACCACATCTTGAGAGAAGCGGCAGAAAACGCAGCAGAGTTGCTGAAACATAGTAGCAGCATAAGCAAAGAAGCAGTGAAGAATGAAAGTGAAGGAGCACTGATTCCTTGGATAAAACATTCTCCGGTGATGCTTGAGGGGGGCACAATGGTGGGTCGTCAACGTGATCATATGCTGATAGTGGATAAACTCATCGCCTATGAATACGGGGAATTTAGATTCAAAGTAATCACAATTCTTGGTATGACCGGTATAGGAAAAACAACTTTAGCTACAAGTGTCTATAATAATCCAAAGGTTGCATTACACTTCGATGTACGAGGTTGGGTTACCATGACTGGGGAATACAACAAGACCCAAACACTACACGACCTTCTTTGGACACTAACAAAGGAGACAAACATTCCTGATGATGATGATGTAGCAGCTAGGCAGGTATACAACTTCTTGAGAGGTAAGAGGTTTCTAATTGTTTTGGATAACTTATGCAACACTCAAGCTTGGTATGATATAAGAGGATATCTTCCTGTTGGAGATCATAATGGAAGTCGCCTAGTGCAAACCACTACGCATTTAAGGAGGGATTCTGGTGAGGAATATTGCCACCCAAGTTTCTATGTCCATCACATGTCTTTGCTAAATTCAGAAGAAAGTTGGGAATTATTTAGCAATAACCCTTTTTTGGAACTACATATGGCATCTAAATTTAAAAAAATTAGGAGCCAAATTGTAGAGACATGTGAAGGATTGCCGCACTCAATACTTGTAGTTGCAGAACGTCTATCTAAGTGTGACAACATAAAACAAGAATGGAAGAAGGTTCAAAAGGAAATAGAGTTGCTTGGGGTTCTAGATAGCAACGCACTCACCCTCACTTACAATCAATTGCTAGAACATTTAAAAGTTTGCTTTCTATATTTTGGAGTCTTTCCAAAACGTAGTGCAATCAAAGTGAAACTACTTATTAGGTTATGGATTGCTGAGGGATTTATTAAGCCATTGGAGTGTAAGGAGTTAGAAAGTCGAGCTTATGAGTATTTACAAGAGTTCATTGATAGAAGTCTTATTCTATTTGACAATTGGAGTTCTTCTGGAAAAATTAAGAATTGTAGGATGCATAGTGCCTTGCATAGCTTTTGCGTAAGAGAAGCTCAGAAAGAGGGCATTTTATGTGCTTTAAATACTCGGCAACTTCCACTAGGGCCATTTAGCATGTTTGCAAATTCATGCCGCTGGTTAAGTTTATACACACATAAATTTGACTATTATGTGTTGTTTAAAACAAACAACCCTCGTTCCATTTTCTTCTTTCAAGAAGATGCTGAAATATTTGTATCTTTCAAGTTGCTTAGAGTTTTGGCTTTTGTTCCATCTTCATTTCTTCAAGGAGTGCCAACACGCTTACAGGATTTAGTTTTTTTGAGATACCTATCTGTATCTGAATGGTTTGAGGGTCTTGAGTACGTAGTGTCAACCAATCGAAACTTGCAGACACTAGTTGTTTCTAGTAAAGAATCCCAACTTGGAACACCTACTATTCATTTGCCTTCAACAATTTGGGAGTCACCGCAGTTACAACATCTTAAACTTGACAAATCGTATGTGATTGATCCTCCAAGCATGGATAAAGATAATATGCTAACATTATCTTGGGTGTGTCCAACTCATTGCAGAACAAGAGTATATTGCAGGTTTCCGAACATTAAAAATTTGAAAATATTTGTATCCCGCAACAATCCAATTATTTTGGATAATCTTGAATATTTGAAACGACTTGAGAGGCTAGCAATTTCAGTTTCGTTAGACGATGTTGTAACCCTTCCAAAATCATATGTATTTCCTTCACAACTAAAGAAGTTGAGCTTGAATGGTATTAACCTTTCGAATAGCTATTTAACGGTAATTGGCATGTTACCTAAGCTTGAATTTCTCAAGTTGAAAAATGTGTTTCATGGGAAAGTATGGGAAGTAGAAGCAAGAGGATTTCCTAAATTACAATTCTTGCTTCTCGAAGATAAAACGCTCAAGCGATGGAGAGCTGATGAATATTCGTTTCTTTGGCTTGAGCGCTTAGTCCTAAGATTTTGTTATTGTTTGGAAAGTATCCCTCATACTATGGAACATATTTGGTTCTTGAAGTCAATTGAGTTCCAGCAGTGTTGTCCTTCCGTTGTCAATTCTGCAGAGGATCTCCAACGTAAAAGAAACAGACTAGGCCAAGCTTTTGAGGTTAGAATTGAAGCTATTTTTAGGTTAGAAGCTGCGTAGTATAATTTTCTTTACATGTGTTTAGCCTTGTAGTCATCCTTAGCTTCATTAATATATATCTCATTTCACTTTAATTTCTTCATTCTTAATTTGCATTCTGTTTTTCATTTATATATATAGATCATAATCGTGGGACCTGAATATGATGATGAACCAGATGTAGACACACTGAAGTGTCTATGTATGCCTTCAATGCTGAAAGACAAGCTAAGGTATATATACATGGATGCTAGAATTGAATTGAATGACAAATTAATTGGTTACCAACTATATATATTCTTAATATTTATTTATTTATTGCATCCTATTTATTATGTTATTTTTCCTTTCTTTGGGAAGAATGTTTTTATTACTTTGGAGTCCCCCCTATTTTCTGTATGTAATGTAATCTTCTATTTAAGCAAAGCAAATTTTGTATGAATTGAAGAAGATCAGATGATAGCTTTTGATTATCAATTGAAGTCTTGAATTTTAAGTTATATATGTACGTGATCTGATCTGATCCTTTTTTATTTTCTCTCTTTATATGTTCTGCATCTAAGGGAATATTTGGGAAGAATACTTCAAGTTGAATAATCAAATACAAGGAAGAGTACAATGGAGCAAAGATGATGACCACTACTATGAAACTAATCTAGATTTCGAACATGCATGCCACACACATACGAGTATTGGTTACTAACTATTTCTAGTTGCTTGGTTGGCGAATAGTACTTTTGAATTGTGAGTATATGTTATTTTATACATTTCGCATGTGAAAATATTTTTGTTAAAGTATTTGTTGGAGGATAAAAACATTGATATAAACCAATGTATCTTCATCAATAATATCACTTTTCCTTCTCTACTTCTCGATCCTTCATCTTCATCTTCTCAGCACCACTTCTCTCTCTGCTTCTCATTAATGTAAACCTTTTCCAATATGGTATCAGAGCGGCGATCCTACGCCACCGCCGCTTCTAGTGTCGCCGGCGTGAATCAAGAGACCACTCCGGTCGCACAATCTCCAGCCACACAGTCTCCAGTCATGCGATTCCCTACTCGTGTTGGTCCAGAGTTAGTTCCGCAGAGGAACTCGATCAACCGTGTTCGCGCATCGCCCAGCAATCCACAGAGGATTATTGTTACGCAGAGTAACAACAATGCCGACGCACCAGTCTGATTAGCATCACCAAGGATTTCGCAGAGGAATCTGAGTTCGGAGCAGCGGACTTCCATAGCCGATCCGCAGCGGAAGGCGATCCACGGAGTTTGTCCGTTGTTCCCGGTCATTCAATCACCAGTTCAGGTTCAGATGACCTCCACAGCCGTTCCGCAGCGGAAGGAAGGAGTTCTTAGCCAAAAACAGATGGAACAATCCTCCGATTCAGCCACAGCGGTTGTGTCTTTCGATCCGAAATTCGTTCGGAGAGAAACAGAGAAGAGCATCACCGGAGTTGGAGCAGAGGAAGCGGCGTTGCTGGAGACAGAACTCAAGGACGCCGTTTCTCTGTCTCGCCGTCGCCTTCGAGCCAATGCCGCCACCGGTGAGGAGACGGCGCCGGGAGTGGAGCCGCAGAAGATGTGGCGGGAGATAACAGCTCAGAATTTGTTGAAAGTTTTTAACAATTTTAAGTTCGTTTTGAACGAGCATTCAATTCGTGACTTGATTGTGGCTGCCGATGCTAATGCATCTAAATTGAGCTGAAACATTGCTGCAGAGTGCAGTGTCGTTTTTTATAAGGAGTCTAAGCAGGTTTCCTATGATGTTATTAGGGATGAGAATGGAAACGTTAAATTTGATTGCTCAGCTATTGGTAAGCAGTTTACTGCTGAAAAAATATCTTCTCAGGTCGTGAGAAAGCTTGTGGATGATGCATCCAAGTTTTTGATTGACAAAGTTTCCAAAGTTGTAGTCACAGTTCTGGTACATGGACGGTCAATAGTGGAATCCACTTTAGGGCGTTCTGCAAGGCCTGGTAATGGGACCATTGAGGATGGTAATGGAGTCAAGTGTAATATGGATGATATACCATCATCAGAGGGTGGTGAGAATTACCGAGCTGCTGCTTTGGCAAATGAAGGATTTGTAAAAGGTTCTAGAATTAATGGATATAATGAGGTTTCTGTGGATCCATCTAAAAATGAAAAGGAAGAGGGTGAGTTATCACCAAATGGTGATTTTGAAGATGGTGGAGATGCTGATGATGAGGATAGCGATAATGCATTTGTGGCTAGTGATGATGTTTCTGGCAGTGAATCTGCTGCAGACGAGTGCTCAAGAGAAGAGCCTGAAGAAGAGGAAGATGCAGAACAAGATGAAGTTGATGGAAAAACATAGAGTGAAGGTGAGGCTGAGGGCACAAATGATGCACATTTCGTTGGAGATGGCTCATCATTGCCCTTAGCCGACCGTTGTTTGCTTGCTTCAAAGCCTTTAACAAAGCATGTGGTGGCTGCACCTGCACCATGTAAGGGTGCAAAGAAGTGTCTGCGTGTCTTTTATGGAAATGACTCGTTTTATGTGTTTTTTAGACTTCACCAAATACTGTATGAGAGGCTATTGTTGGCAAAGCTCAACTCATCATCACCTGATTCAAAGTGTAAAGCTGGAAAACCTGCTGACATTTTTCCTCCGGAGGGACAAGAAGGTTTCTGCTGGTGTGCTTGTTTTTGCAACTGCTATCTGGGATTGAAATCAATACAGATTTAGCTAGACTTCGAGACATTGCATCTGGGAAAGACTTGAAGACGTTCCTTGGAGTTATTGCTGTTATGGTTGCCGCTAGGGAAGGCCATGCTGACACCATTTTTGTTCTTTTGTATCTAAGCTGGACGTGTAGGATCTACACGCTCCACAGGGGTGTTGGAGGATAAAAATAATAATATCCTCCCTTCCTCTTTTATTCTTTTATTTTCCCATATATAAACCAATGTATCTTCATCAATAATATCACTTTTCCTTCTCTGCTTCTCAATCCTTCTTCTTCATCATCTTCTCAGCACCGCTTCTCTCTCTGCTTCTCACTAATGTAAACCTTTTCTAATAGTATTGTAATATTTAGTCATATATGTGTGAAACTTTATAGTAGTCAGTAGAGTTAGTTGTTGAAATTAATTATGTATGTGACCTGGGGTGGAGCCACTGTACTATATAGGCAGTGGGGCAGCTGCCCCTCCCCCACCTCATCCATATATATATATATATATATATATATATAGGCTCCGGATCCCATGAGGTCACCTAGATGGATGAGATAATAAGATCTAATCTCATCCATTAAATCATGACAAATAGAAGGGTGAGATTTAAAGAGATTTGCAATGCAATTAAGGTAGTAATGTATTCATAAGGGTGAAGAAGTAATTACAATATTCTTGTTATTTTTTGTTACAAATAAATTGGAATATATTCCATATGAATAGACATATATTAATGGTAATATAAATTAGAAATATTGGGGAGAGCTGTACTACAGCCTGTTAGATAATAATATTAAGACTAACACAAATTGTAATAAACGAGTAACCTGCCTCGTTACAGCGGAAGCTTTAGGATCGCCCAAATATCCCCAGCCATAGTCGTTGGTATTGCCACGAGATGGTAAACCTGCAGAATAAAGGTTAGTGTCGTTTTGTCTATCACTTCTCTCCCGAATACGTGATGGTACGTGTCCTAAACCCGGGAGCTGTGGGAGGACTATTTTGCTTAGAAGCCTACATGTCATCAACATAGGCAGATATTCAGTTAAAGTTTAACTGAATATCCTGAGTTGCATAACAGATTAAGTCACTAATTGACTCAATCTCCTACTTGCACCACAGCCACCCAATAATACAATATATTATAATATATTGTATATAGGGAAAATACTTACATTCTCCCACTTGGTGCAAGTACTGGCACAACCTTCATTAAAGAACAAAATACAAGAACCATAGTAATACGTCATCTACTAATCAAGTGAGTAGTATCTACTATGATCACATGCATTTAAATTCTCTAACTTAGGTTCTTTATGAACAAACCCTACGTTTATTCTTAGTCCCTTAATGGATGTTTCTCAAAATATATTATGTGCACAACTGAAGGAAGAAACCATCCAAATTCACTGTATGATCTCCAAAATCTTAGAAGCATGCCTTAAGTAGAGATCTCTTAATGTTAGCATAATGCTAACTATATTCTATGACTTGTTTATAAGTTAACATAAACACTACCTCTAACGGCTAAGAGCTTGGAGTTCACACGTCTGTCACTCCCACTCATTAAGATAGCCCAAAAGATAGAAGTCACAGAAACATTCCAATGACATAAACCATAAGGTCTAAGTCAATAATTTAGAATCTTAAACATACACCAACTTCCCAAATAATCTCAAGGTCCCCCTCGAAATTAATTGAACATTACGAGTCTTACTTATAGGTCTTGCAAAATTGTTTTGAGCCTTACAAACCAAAAATGGCCCAGGATCAATTTTGAAGAAACTAAAGACTCTGTTAATTGCTAAAGAATTTATTAATTGGCAGTGCACCACAAGTTAAATGATTTCGTTCTAATAAATTCATTAATATTGTTACAACATTTTCATAAATATGTTGTACAACCAAACGTTCAATGAAATGAACTTATGAATTATAAGAACAAAAAATTAATTAATACTTGTGGAAACTTTTGGACTTATTGTTGGACGCACAACCCAATTTGGAATGTATGAAAACAACTAAATCCATCAGCTTTAGTGGAGTATCTTAATGATCTTTTCTAAATGATCACTCCCACTGATTAAGATATTCTTTAGCCAAATTAATGATATAACACTCATAATTGATTTGACCAACTAAATAATGAAGATATAATTCTCCACCATTAGTTGGGCATACTAAATAATCAATATTTGGTTCTAATTATAGTCTAACTAAATGAATAATTAATGAGGACATGATTCTCCACCATAGTTGGACATACTAAAATAATAAAATACGCCTTCCAAAACCAAGTTGGAATTCGGCTAAGAAGATATATTTTATTATTGGAATCCATAAGAGGTATATCATACCACGCAACTTACTATAGTTAGTCCAAATAACCAAGTAAGCTTCGTGAACAATAATTAAATAAAAGGTGTATCTAAATTTTGGGAAGTGACTAAATACATGTTTTGCCAATGCAAACCACGAAATTTAGAATTATAATTGAACTAAATTTATAAATTCTAAGAAATTGAGATAAAGTTATTATCTAATGGGTTGATGAATTTATTGACATAAAACTTGCCTGTGGGCTAAAGTTTTAATTCTATTAAATTCAATTAAACACTTATGATAGTATTTTATCTCAATTACTAAATAGTCAGAAGAATCTAGTGACATAAAGCTTGCCTGTGGGCTAAAGCTCTACTCAATTAGACCCAACTGAAATTTTATGATGAAATAATTAGCAAATGAGTTGAAGAATCAAGTGACATAAAACTTGCATGTGGGCTGAAGTTTTAATTCAATTAGATTCATTACAACCATTATGACAAAAAAACTTAAGAGATCATGTTCCTTATCTTAATCCCTGTGGGCAAATTAAGATATATGACCTAAAGTTTACATCATAAAATTAAGCTTCATGATAGAGATGAGAATTATTCATAAAGTAAGTAAAATTCTTTATTTCTATCATTACTGATAAAACTACTAAACTACATTCCGATACATAATTGCCTGTGGGCTAAATTATGATCATAGTTCAGTATTTCATCCTAATTAATCATACAAATATAACGAAATTGCCTGTGGGCTAAATTCCATCATATTACATACAATTAATCACAATTGATATGTCTAAAACTTTATATGACCCTAACATCTCAATATATAATTTTAACTGATTAAGGATGCTGTGGCTACTCCCCAACTAATTAGAATTATAAGATCACTAGACATTTATCAAATTTTATGTGACCCAACAACTCAATATATAATTTTAACTTATTAAGGATGCTGTGGCTACTCCCCAACTAATTAAAATTATAGGATCACTAGGCATTTATCATTGCCATCTTTATGTGATTTGAACTTTAGACAATTTTTAGTAAATTAAAGATGCTGTGGCTACTCTTTAATTAATCTAGAAATTGTAATCACTTGGCAAAAGGGGAAGTTAAAGCCTAACAAACAAATTAAACCAACACATGATATACAATTATTAGGCATACTCCCAGGAAAGTTGGTCGAGACGAAGCTCGGTTAAATACCAACTCCTTAGACAGAGTAGCGTCGCAAGGGGACTAGTAGCAACAAGGCTTTTAAGCCAGGGCCATAGAACTAGTATTCCTCCCCAAGAAACTTCCCTAAGTCATGTGTTGTCATGTTTGAAGTAAAATCGTTTGGGAGATCTATACAATTGTAGATTCACTTATGGATAAGGCTTTAAATTGATGAACTAAATTAGCGGACTAAACGTGCTTAAATTCAGGCACTACCGCAGCTAAAGTTTTATGCATAGGTCCAACTTAATAAGGAACTAATATAATTCCATCCTAAAGTATGCATTTCTAAAGGCATAATAAAATTGCATAATTAAAAAAAAATAGAATATTATGCAGTGGACAAGTATGCATAAAATCAAACATTAAACTCATATATTCTAAATAAATTGCATAAACCAAAACAATTTTAAATATGAGCAATAACCTCAAAGTATACAATTAATATTCAAAACTAGTATGATTTCTAACCAAAGAAATTCAAAATTTGAATAATAATATAATAGATGTATACTTTGAAAGGTTAAAAACTATAAGCCCACGTGGAAAAGTTTTAATTGCATAAAATCAACTTTGTGAGAAACAGGCTAAATTCACAAATATCAAGCCATAGTATATGTTTTATTCGTAAATAAAATCTCACAAATCTCAACTGCATAATTAAACTTAATATTATGCACTTAATGTGATTAAAAGCATAAAACAATTTAAAGAGTATGAAAAACACTAAATGTGTATTCAATTATTCATACTTAACTAAATGTGGCCAATGACATCTAAAATCATAATTCAAATACTAAATAAATTGCCAAGAAAACATGTTCTTCCAAAATCTGAATTGATTAAAAAAAATCACTCTCCAAAACTCAATTAATAATATTGTTAATGGCATAAAATTGCAAATAAACCAAAAAAGCAATAAATAGCCATAATAATATTATTATGCTAATTTGGAGACTAAATATGGAAAACAATAGTTAAAACTGTTAACCTTTAAAACATTTTTGGATATAACTGTAAAATGTAATAAAACTTAAGTCTGAAAATAAATGCCACATAAATCAATTTGGAAACAATTAATGTCTTAATACCATAAAAATAATGTTATCATTAATTAAAATATTAATAGTAATAAGGAGCATTATAATCACTATGAACATCCGCACGTGGAGGCTGGTGGGGAGAGGGATGTAAACGGCGTCCACATCCGGATCATCCAGCACGGCATCGTAGCTGTCGTAAATTTTCACGGTGGCGGAGCACTCGGTCTCTGCGGCAAACGCTGCGGCTTTCTCCGCCGTGCGGCTGGCCACGGTGGAGATGGTAGCGTTCGGAGCCAGCGATATAGCCCCGGCCAGCTTGCGCGCTACGGTGGCACAGCCCAATATTCCGAAACGGATTTGCCTCTCGTTAGCCATTTTTCCCCGTCACGACCATTGCGAGTCCACGGTACTGACAAACCAAAAACAACAAAACTGGCAGTACATATCCGAAAAAATAAATAAATTATGTACTGTAATATGCTTAGGCAAGCCTGGAATTTTGCATGGAATTATACATTTATACAGTTCGTTGCTTTTCCAGAAAACAAAAACAAATATATTTTCAAAATATATATTTGTTACCGATTAATCAACCAGGCAGAGATTTTTAGGGCTCTGATACCAAATGTTAGATAATAATATTAAGACTAACACAAACTGTAATAAACGAGTAACCTGCCTCGTTACAGCGGAAGCTTTAGGATCGCCCAAATATCCCCAGCCATAGTCGTTGGTATTGCCACGAGATGGTAAACCTGCAGAATAAAGGTTAGTGTCGTTTTGTCTACCACTTCTCTCCCGAATACGTGATGGTACGTGTCCTAAACCCGGGAGCTGTGGGAGGACTATTTTGCTTAGAAGCCTACATGCCATCAACATAGGCAGATATTCAGTTAAAGCTTAACTGAATATCCTGAGTTGCATAACAGATTAAGTCACTAATTGACTCAATCTCCTACTTGCACCACAGCCACCCAATAATACAATATATTATAATATATTGTATATAGGGAAAATACTTACACAGCCACCGTGAGCAGAAACCTAGTGTTGTAGCCATTTTTTGCGGCAGCGTTGATGGCGTATACGGAATCAGGTTTGTGCAACGGATCTAGACTAATGATTGATAATGGTATTAGGTGTATGCACTTGTTGTCGTTAGGGTGTGCGTTGTGCGGGTTGAGTCTGTGCATTTGTTTAAGATTGTTTAATGAGTGCATTCGTGTGGCGTGTTTTTGAATTCGTCTTACATAATATAGGTACCGCGTGCGTTGTTCATAGCTTCCTATGCACCGCGAGGGGTGTTTTGATATCAAACGGTAGTGGTTGTTAACATGGAAGATTGTGCGAAACGTTGTTATAGCTTCGTATTTGTGAAAAAACTTGTATAGTATGAACGTGGTTAATTTGTGTAGTCTTCCTCTACCACCTCACTGCGTTGATGGTGGTTGACGAGAGCAAGTATGATGTTAAGCTTGTGCAAATTATTTGTTATTTTGATATACGGATTGGTTATGTATATGGTTTGCGTGTGATAGTTAGGGTGTGTGCAGATGATGAAGTATGAGTACTGAGTGCATGCGTATTTAATATTTTTGAGAATGAAATAAAAACTCTGATGTGTTGTACACCTGTAGTGTTCATCTATCGCCTACCTGGTTGATTGTTAGGAGAAGTGTGCAAGTTAACTGTTAAACCTGTGCAAGTTACATTCAAGGAAGTGGTAATATATCAAGCATTTGTGTGCATTCTGTGTAAGGAACTGATACCCATAGTAAGCTTTTAATTCCTGTGTGTACGAGAGACAAATAATTTAATGAATATTGTGTTATGTAGTAGTAAAAAGATTTCGATTACGTGAGTGCGTTTGTGTATGTAGGTATGTGCGAATTTCATTTGTTTGTGCAATACGATCGGGTAGCCTGGAAAACTGCAATATCATTGTTGGGTCGTTTTTTCAGCATTTTTTGGGTGATATTTTGGGTGTATAAGGTTTTTTTTTTTTTTTTTTTTTTGAAGGATGGTTGTGCGTCATGGGAATAAGAATTTACTTGGAGGGATAGTTTGCAACGATCTAGATGTGTGTGTGCAGTTGGTGTGTGGATTAGTGCATGCATGAATTAATATGATATACATGTTTGTGCGTTCGGTTGGGTTAGCTTGTGCATAAAATTGAGTATGAGTACTGAGTGCATGCGTATTTTTAATATTTCTGAGAAGGAAATGAAAACTTTGATGTGCTGTACACTTGTAGTGTTTATCTATCGCCTACCTGGTTGATTGTTAGGAGAAGTGTGCAAGTTAACTGTTAAGCATGTGCAAGTTACATTCCACCTACGCGAAAGTAGCTATCGTTGTTGTTATTTGTAACATATGTACTTGATACGTAATGAAATGAGAAGATGTATAACATTTAATATTATTATAAAGTTATAAACTCACACTAAGATCCATGAGTGCGTTGAATTAATGATGACGTGTGATATAAAAATGTATTTGATAACTCAAAATATGTTACATGCATGTTTGTGCGGTGCAGGACCCAGTGGTGAAAACGAATCAGAAAAGGAATGTGACATGGTTGTTAGTCTTGGTGGTACGAAATACTGGTGCCCCAGTTAATACCCGCACGACGCTATCTGTACGTGTGGAGCAATCCGGGTGTAGCTTAATAAAGCGCGTGATATCATCCAGCGCCACGTCTAGCAAAGTTGTCTTCTCATCTAAGATTTCACCAATAGTCTGCATTGTTTTAATGGAACAAGTATACATAAGAGTCGAAATTAATACAAGTAAAAATGCAGTACTAAAAAAAATGTGCTTGTAATTATTAGCTAATGCACACGCTGTATCGTAATAATGCATACACCATGAATAACCCAAACCCGGTGACCAAACTGAAACTGAAATACAAAAACGTATTTATAACAAAAACGAACTTAAAACGCAAATTACAACACACCTTGAGCAAACAAGTGCACAAATTATTCCCCACAATCAATGTAATTCGCACATGCTATAACCCGTAATGCACAGACATAAGACGCACACACCATAAGTACGCAATGCACACTGCATTATTAAACTGTTTTCCCACAAATCCAAACCCAATGACCACAAAATGAAATACAAAAGCCTATTTTTAACCACAATAGGAAGTCGCACCCACCATAAGAACTATACGCACACTGCACCAAACACCAAACAACGACACTGAACGCACCAAAATAAAGGTCCAACAACAGAGAATAAGAAAACAAAAAAACAAAGGTCGGGTTGCATACACGGCAAAATTAAACACACACGACACGTATGCACAAAACCCGCACACACACCCCATTTAAACTAATTCAGATGCACATACCTGAAGTCGATTCGCAAATCATCGCACCAAACTCACGAAAACAAGTAAAAAAAAAAAAAAAAAAAAAAAAAAAAAAAAACAAAGCCACACTCCTAGTTGCGAATAGCACGAGAACATTAAAAAAAAAAAATCCACGAATAAAATCACCAACTCACACCTCCATTTCAGAACCCCATCCTCCCACCGCCAATCACCGCACTAGTACAATCAAACTCCCACCCTTACCCGCCAAACCACGGACATGCAAATAACATGCCGGCCAGACCCGGCCTTTATCCCTCAAAAAAACCAAAAAAAAAAAAAAAAAACCAAACCAGCACAGTACGAGAACCCAAAATACATATCAAGTTATTAGTCTGGGCAAGTTAACTTGGTTTACAATCCTCCAAACAACAAACACCGATCGCACACGCCGACCTCCTATAACGCACCCACCTCCCCCCGGACGAATACATACCCACCCCATTTATGAATCATTTAATTAGCAACTTAAATGACCTTTTAGTCTACTTTTTATGAATCATTTAATTAATGTAGTATACAAGTTTATATTATATTTCATTGTATTCAAATTAATTTAGAAAAACTTAAAGTTGTAAATAAAAGAAATTAAAATTAAAAAGTATTTATGAATATAGTGTTATTCAAATAATTTTATGTAATTGATTATGTTTCATATTTTCACATTTTGTCTTAAAGTGTTCTTCATTTTTATTTATTCATTTGTGTGTTTGGGTGCAATTCTTGATGATTTAGATGATGAATTGAATGGTTTTTGAAGCATTTCGGATGCATGTAGGGGTGTGCAGCGGACGGGTTCGGGCGGATCGGATTGGGGAACCGTTCATCCGATCGGATTTCGGATGGGGGAAAACTACCCCAATCCGGTCGAATTAAGAGGGAAATCCTTTCGGATTTCCCATGTTCGGATACGGTCGGGTGGGGGTCGGATTTCGGTTTGAAGTCGGATTATAAAACATACAAAAAAAAAAAAAAACTGTAAAAATGTTCAACAAACTTAATAACCCTAAAATAAATTACCAAAGCTATGTAGGCATTTAGATACACAATTACATATTGCAGTTTCCAACTTTGGCTCAAAAAGCAAAAATGATGTTCACAAAAATACACACAATCAACAATTCTAAAACAACACTAAACTACTAAGTACTAATTACTAAAGTACTCAGCAGTCAGCAATCAACATTCGGCATTAGTCACCATTCACCAATCAGCCTTCAACAATCAGCATTCATCCATTCCTCATCTTCCTGCTCAATTATAAAACCATTAAAGGCTTTAAACTTTAAAGCCAATAAAGACAAAGAGAAGTAGAGAACTAATAATAATTAATAACAAAGGCTCAAATTGCTTTTTTTCATATCATTTAAGAGTTGGGGGCAAATTGCTTCATGAGTTTTGTCTCAGAGCAACATACCAAACACCCAAAGTCCTTTTAATTCAGATAAATGGTGGAAGCATCATCATAGCCATAACTAAACAGAAAGGAGAATATGAGAGGAAGGGAAGTGATATACCAGAATTCCAGAATACCAGAGATGTAACTGAGTAAGGGCAGCAACATTTATAAAAAAGTTACCAAGCCACTTAGCAATTAGCAATTTAGCAGTTCTGGAATCTTACCTGAGTTGCCTCAAAGAGTCCACACATTTATCAATCAAACTAAACAGAAAGTCAGAAAGCATTCAAAGCAATGTTATATAAAAGTATTACAGCAATTGTTGGGAGTGTTCCAACAGTACTTGGTAAAGAACCAGCAGCTCCAGTGGACAATTCTGCACAAAAAGGAAAAACAAAAAAGAGTTTAGAAAAGGTAACAATTAACAATTTATAAAGTTGAAACCTAGACAGTTAGAAAAAAAAAAAAAGAAGTACCCTTCTCTAATCTTTCAACATCATCCAAGTTTTCCTCAACAGAGATTGGATGATTGGGTGCCCTCAACCAATCTTGTACACATACTAGGGCTTCAACAATTTTAGGAGTTAAGGAACTCCTAAAGGCATCTAATACCCTACCACTAGTACTGAATGCACTCTCAGAGGCAACAGTTGAAATGGGAACAGCCAGCACATCCCTTGCCATTCTAGAGAGTATAGGAAATCTATCACTGTTGACCTTCCACCATCTTAGGACATCAAAGTCCACATTTTCTTCATCTTCCACTAATTTTTCACTTAGATAAATCTGGAGTTCAGTTTCTTTACTGCTTCCACCAGACTCCATTCTCTGTTTTTTAAGCTGGCTTTTCATTATAGCCTGAGGTTTTCCAACTTAAGTTTGAGAATGGACAGGTTCAGATTGGGTAGATTGCAATTGCACAGTAGGGGATGCAGATTGCACATGGTAGGTGGCTGTATAATCATTAAACAGCAGAACCATAGAAGATTGAACCTTTTCAAAGCATGATTTTCCTTTTTCATCACCATATAACTGGGCAAATTGGGCAGGCATGTACTCAATCTTATCCCTAGGATCCAAAATATTGGCATAGAATATCAAGAAGTTCATTTTTTCAGGATCTCCCCAATATTTTTCAAATTTTTGTTTCATATGGGACCCCATTTCCTATAAAACAGACATAACACAGAAAAAATTAACACAAAGTCAAACACAATTCACAGATGCATACAAACACATTCAGAAATCAGAAAATGTTAACAATTTACCTTTTCAGAGGTTGAAACAGAGTTAACCACGTCATCCAGCATGCAACCTAAGTCAGAAATCTCAGAAAAGAAAGTATTTGAAGTGACATAGAGAGAACCAGATATTCTCACAGTCATCTCATAGAAGCCTTTCAGGAAATTGACTAAGCTTTGCACAGAAAGCCAATCTATAAAATTTGGAATAGAATCAGATAAGTCAGCATTCAATGAGGCATCATTCTCATAAGCTTCAAAGGCCCTCTGGTACTGAAGGGCAGTGTTGAGCATCATGTATGTGCTGTTCCATCTTGTTGGAACATCAAGTTGTAATGCACATTTGGCTTCCACCCCATTAAGCACAGCAATCTCTCTAAACTTCTTAAGTCTGGCAGGAGAACTCCTCACCCATCTCACAACATCTCTAACTTTCTTAACAGAAGGACCTGCATATCTCAACCCATCCTGAACCACTAAGTTCAACACATGGGCTATGCACCTCATGTGCATATATTGAACCCTAACAGAAGACCCACCCCAAGACAGAAGTTTGTTCTTGAAAAACCCCAAAGCTGTGTCATTTGAAGAGGCATTATCAACAGTAACAGTGAAGACATTTTTAATCCCCCAATCAAGAAGACAACTCTCAAGGGCTTTGGCTATGTACTCTCCCTTATGAGAAGAAATTGGGACAAAGGAAATGATCTTTTTGTTAAGCTTCCACTGATCATCAATGAAATGTGCAGTAATGCACATGTAATTTATCCTTTGGACAGAGGTCCATGTATCAGTGGTCAAGCTGACCCTTTGGGTGCTCACCCTAAACAACTTTTTTAAGCTTATTCTCTCATCTAGGTAAATCTGGTAAATGTCTCTAGAAATGGTCCACCTAGAAGGGATTTGAAACCTAGGACAAGCAACTAAAATGAATTTCCTAAAGCCATTTCCCTCAACAATCCTAAAGGGAAGTTCATCAACAATTATCATCTCACACAATGCCCTCCTAATAGCCTCTTGGTTGAAAACCCAAGTCTCCAAAACCCCCTCAGAAGCTTCTGTTCCAGAGGCATTAAAGGTGAGAAGAGACTGCCTTGTGTCCTTACAATGAGGATTTTTTAGGCAGGCCTTCATATGGTTTTTCAATGAGGAAGTGCCATGCTTTTTACTTTCACATTTATAAATTTTTGCACAATAAAGGCATTTGCCCTCAACTACTGGTCCCTCAGTTTCACCTTCAGCAGGTGGAGCACGGATCTTTTCAAAATGATCCCATACTATAGACCTAGACTCCACCTCTTTCCTCTTCTTTGTAGGAACAACAGGAGGAGAAGGCATAGGATTTGTCTGAGGATTTCTCTCAGTACCTTGAGCTTCTACTCCATGCTCCTCATCAGTTGAGGTTGGAGGGTGTCCAGATGCACTGATGCTTTCCATCTATAAAGATGGGCATCAGTATCCAAATAAAGCAGACAATCAAACAGCATGTGAGATTACAAATCATACAATCATATTAAAGCTTCCACCATACAATCATACATAGAAGTATTACATATTACTTTCAGTTAATTTCACATGTCATCATGTATGCAGAATTGCACATAAACAATTTAAGGGTCACATATCCATAAACTTAATACAATTTACAATTTACAATTTACAAAGAAATCCATATTCAGGCATTCAAGCTAAGTGGATGTATGCCACTTCATAATGCTCATCATCTATATGGATTTCACACAAAGGGGCTAGGGCTTCCACCAGATTAGGGACAATTACCCCTTTAAGCCTTTAACTCAGTTAGTCAGTTACACACTTACAGATTAAGCTTCCACCAACAGATTACAATTTAGTGACAAGTGAGTAAGTAATCTGGAACTTCTCAACAGATCACAACATCACAGTCCATACAAATCACAAAATCACAATCAGAAAAACCATAATCAAACTATCAAACTAACAATCATAAATTAGAGACAAAACCCATCTAGTCTCTGGAACTTCTCAACAGATCACAACATCACACTATCACAGTCCATACAAATCACAAAATCACAATCAGAAAAACCATAACCAAACTATCAAACTAACAATCATAAATTAGAGACAAGTGAGTAAGTAATCTGGAACTTCTCAAAAGATCACAACATCACACTATCACAGTCCATACAAATCACAAAATCACAATCAGAAAAACCATAATCAAACTATCAAACTAACAATCATAAATTAGAGACAAGTGAGTAAGTAATCTGGAACTTCTCAACAGATCACAACATCACAGTCCATACAAATCACAAAATCACAATCAGAAAAACCCTAATCAAACTATCAAACTAACAATCTTAAATTAGAGACAAGTGAGTAAGTAATCTGGAACTTCTCAACAAATCACAACATCACAGTCCATACAAATCACAAAATCACAATCAGAAAAACCCTAATCAAACTATCAAACTAACAATCTTAAATTAGAGACAAGTGAGTAAGTAATCTGGAACTTCTCAACAGATCACAACATCACAGTCCATACAAATCACAAAATCACAATCAGAAAAACCCTAATCAAACTATCAAACTAACAATCTTAAATTAGAGACAAGTGAGTAAGTAATCTGGAACTTCTCAACAGATCACAACATCACAGTCCATACAAATCACAAAATCACAATCAAAAAAACCCTAATCAAACTATCAAACTAACAATCTAAAAAACTAGGGTTTAGAGAATAATGATTACTTCGTTTCTCTAAATTAAACCCCCGAGAACAAAGGGCTTCGATTCCTAGCCAGCGAACTGCAATCCACCGGAGTATCGCTCCCACCGGAGACTCGCTTGGGGCTTGAGGGCTACCGGAAACGAATGGGGCTTGAGAGCTTCCACCGGAGAATAATAGCTTCCACACTACAGACACTCACACTCTCAGAGTCTCAGAGAGACTGTCTGAGAGAAGCTGAGATTCTGAGAACTGAGAGTTCTCTGGAAGAAGGGAACGAGAGACTGTGAGAGAACTAGGGTAGAGAGAAGAGAGAAGTCAGAGAGTTCTCTGGAAGAAGGGAAGAGGCGAAGACTGAAGAGCTGCGCAAATGAGACTAGGGTTTGCGAACTCTCTGCTACTTCTTCTATATATACTTAGGCTACACGACGTCGCATTATACGTAGGCTTAGTCTTATTCGGGTGATCAGACGGGTTCGGGTGGAAAATATACCCCCCTCCCCGACCTAATTAAACCGGCGTCGTTTTCCTCCTCGGTTCGGTTTTGCCTGATCGGGTTCGGTTCCCGATCCATTCTTGTGTGTCGGGTTCGGGTCGGTCGGGTTGGGCGGGTTGGGCGGGTTATGCACAGGCCTAGATGCATGTAGAGTCAATGGGAGTCAACGAGAAGCTATGAATATAGGGGAAACATCTCTTAGATCCAAATAGTGGTCTGTTCAATGGTCTTGATCATTTAGGCAAATAAAGGTAAAGGGGGAGATTATGTGGGGCTCAAACACCATGACTTTTTGTCCAAAAATTTCAAGCATGTGTAGATTTTTTTAAGCCAGTTTTTCGTTGGATTGCAGTCATTATGACCTGAGTTTTTACAAAGAGGCCCGGAAAATCTGGTCCCAAAGACCACAATATAGAATGCAATGGAGCATCCTAGTATTTTCCGAAGATCTAATAAGATGGTCTGCATCGTTTCTCAACTTACCAGCCTAATACAGTATCTAGAGTTTTTTGTTTTTTTGTTTTTTTTTTTGTCACATTATTTTGTGTGTTGTATGAGAGAGTTGGATAGGGCATCCAATAATGTTCTCATAAGGCCTAGCCTTTTTACAGTATTTATATGCCAATTGTACAGAATATATACAATGTAGTTATAGATTGGCACATCGCCAATGATATAGAACATATCAAAAAGAAGAAGAATACATTGATAGAAGAGATGAGGATCAACATCAACCAGTTGAACTGACCCCCCCTCCCTAGTGTTTTTGCTTCGTGTGTAGAGTTTAGATAATAAGTTTTGTGGTGTTCTTTTGTTTCTCTCATCTTTATGTAACATTTAACTCATACTTTTATTGGAGTGGAAAACTCAATTATAGTTTCATTTGATCAATAATATAAATAAAATATGTTAGACAAGTTATTCCTTTGTATTTTAGATACACAATAATTTCATTTTGTTACGAACACAAAAAAAATATAAAATTTGTTAAAATTTAACAGCTACCATTTCTTTACTTAAAAATAATACCATTTTCGGACCATTGTCCACGGTATAACAACCGTACCATCTACCATTTCCTTTCCTTTCCTTTCCCCTCCTTCCATTTGAAGACTTAAAAGTCTTCATAACCATCCAACAAGTCAACAACTACACCCCCACTTATTCCTTATTTTATGTAATTAGTGAGGAAATTTTTGTTTGTTTCCCCTTAGAAGCTGCCAAAAGTAGAGGATTAGGGGATTAAACAATTGTTTGGTTGTCCCTTAATCAACCAAAATAATGATGGGCTGTTTGGTTCACGGACTAGGCCTGAAATGGCATAGCATTCCCAGTAATAGGCTTATTCCTCTGTTTGGTAACCACTTGTATACCTAGGAACATTGTTCCTGGGAATGACATATTCCCCTTGCAAGGAGAATAGAGATTCTGGGGGGCTGCGCTCTTGGTATTAGGCTATTCCTGAGTTCTCGGGAATAGCCTAAAGTTTCTATTTCCTATTTTACCTCCCAATTAAATTTATTTCCTATTTCACCACCGCCGCCGCCGTCGTCGCGACCGCCGCTACCACCACCCTAGCACCGCCACCGCCACCGCGACCATCGCCATCGTCATGGCCACCACTGCCACCGTCCACCGCCACTACCGCCGCCACCACCACCACCACCACCACCACCATCGCCACCACCGCCGCCGCCACCACCACCATATATTTCTATATATATATATGCTCAAAATATATTTTGGCAATATAGAGAAATATAATAATAATTATAAATACTAACATAGCTGATATGACATCCATCAATTGAACAGATTAGGACATGAGGTGATAGCGGAGTTGATGTATCTATTAATGATAGTCAACAAGTCTTATGGTACGGAGGGTCAAAAAGTCTTTTGTCACGTAGCATCAAGAAAAGCACATTTAATCCCTATAAATCATGAGGATATAGGAAGTAGGCCACGTATGATAAGTAGAATTGTCCTATAACCTATCATCAGGTGTGAAGAATATATTTTGATAACCTTAATATTATGCAGAAGATGGTACGGTGTCCTATAACCTATCATCAGGTGTGAAGAATATATTTTGATAACCTTAATATTATGTAGAAGTGATGGTACGGTGGTGGGAGTCCGATGATGGTGATTAATATTGTACGGTGGTGGGAGTCCGGCGGTGGACATTGATATTGTGATACGAGTATATCCACAGTAGAAGAATGTGAAAATCAAGAATTGAGAGAAAGAAAAGAACAACCCATGCTACTAAGCCAAGGAGAAACCGAATGAAACCGGCATGGATGGCTGATTACATTTGTTAGACTAAGTTTATTCGTAATAGGATACATTAGTTTAGTCCTAATACATTATTATATCATATCAATTAGGAATCATAGTCCTAAGCATAATATGAGTAACTTAGTATATAATCGCCCTGCATGCTAGGGGAAATACATGCGAATTATTATTATCTTTTTCTTCTCTGCTATCATCTTCCTTCTCTGAAATCCCTCTCCCTCTCTCCCTCTCTCTCCCTCTCTCTCCCTCTCTCTCTCCCTCTGAATCATCTTCCTTCTCTGAAATCCCTCTCCCTCTCTCCCTCTCTCTCCCTCTGATTTCCCCTCCCCTAATTCCAACTCTGGAGTCTGCATCCACTCAAAGCGGTGCCGGCTTGATACGAGTTCGTATCAATTGGTGCTTTCATTGAGAGTCGAACTCATCTTTCTTGTTCTTTTACACACTCAAAACTGTAATCCTACTTCATTATGTCAGACAACCAATCTACATCAACAACTGGTCCTTGGGAGCAGGCAATTGCCGAATTTCAAGAAAATTTTGATAGACAAACTGTTACAAATCACCAACTCATTACCTCCGTGTCACGGTTGGAAACGATGGTAACAACAAATAAAAATGCAGCAGTGCAACCTCAAACACATGGAATTTTAGGACTTCCACCTGATAATCATCTACAACCATCTTTGCAACCGGAAAGTGGCCAAGGGACTCAACGATTTCATATGAAACTTGAGTTACCTCGCTTTGATGGCTCAGATCCTCATGGTTGGATATTTAGAATTCAAGAATATTTTGATTTTTATGATACACCCGACACACAGCGATTGCGAATATCAGAATTCACAATGGAAGGGAATGCTTCTGGGTGGTATCAATGGATGAAAAGGAATGGAATGTTAACTACATGGAAGG